TTTTGTACTCTAGTAAAAAACTGAAAATGGGTGCAAACCCAGCTCCACCGCTAAAAAAAAAAAAAAAAAAAAAAAGCCTCTGTCGTTAATATGTGACATTTGCAGCGTGAACACTAGGCAAAATTATGAAGTGCACAGTTATGCCGTTTCTTCTTCCCCTTGCCCTTCTTTCTCTCTACAAGAGAATTTAATCATTATTAAAATATAATGACTGATAAAGCTGTAGCCACTCCTGGGAGATTTTGCATTTTACAGTTATTAAAGCCGTAATCCACAGCAGTGGTGGAAACCATCTCATAAACCAACCAAGATGTAGGGTAGCTTTTTGGGGAGGTTGTGAGTTCACCAGAACCTTCTGAAACTGGAAGTATAGGTAGTCAGGTATTTCTTGTAAGTCTGACACTAGTCATTTCTTATCTTATTGCCTCAATTTTCTTACCTAGAAAAATGAATAGAACCACTCAGTGCACACCCACTCCTAGATCTAAAATGAAAATAGATATTATAATCTTGATGGGATGGTTTCTACAGAGGGATGCTATCTTGATTTTGGGGGTACCTTGGTGCAGCAGAAGGAGCCTTGAAGTCTGGCCATATTCATTTTATAGGTTGAATCCACTCAGTTCTTGATTCCTGTCCTGTGAAATCCCATTATTAAATTATTGAAATAAAACTTTTTATTTCTGGATGTTATTTTGAAAGATTGTATAATGTCTTAAAATAATGAGTTCTTAGTGACTTCAGACAGTAACTTTGTTTTAGTGGAACAAATTCTTAGTACAACCTGTCTCGATTATCAAGTCTCTTAAATGGCTGAGTTTTCTTTTGGGGAGTTACACACACACAGACTTTTGCATTATTGAAAAACTAGAGAAATTAGATGTGACATTGCATACTCAGCAAGGCGGGATAGTTCAGAAAATAAGGTCCAGAAAGAAGCAAGCTGGAAACTAGAAACATGAAAGCAAGAAATAAATCATTTTTAGGCTGATAGTACATTGAAGTTGAAAGGGATCCCCATCCAACCTTCTATCCATCACATGAATCTACCTTCTGGCAGATGCACGATGATAGCTTTCATTGTTGTCAATCACTCTTCTCACTGTTTCTATGTGAAATCATTTAAATGAAAAATCACTTAGTATAAGGTCCACGTGTTTTCCTATGTTTCACCATGTTTTTATGAATGTAATGCATTATCCTGGCATTTTGAAATGAACTGGACAATTAATAGCTTTATATAGATTACCGCCCAATGTAAATTTGCTTTTCTATCCTCACTTTTTTACTACTCTTTGACTTCCCTGGCATGATTACCTGGACTATTTTTGGTCTTCCTTTCTTTGCCCCATTATGCTTCTTAATCTTTTCTGTGATATTACAATAACTAAGATTTATTTGACACAAGTTTTTAGCATGTATCATCTCATTTCTCCCAACAATCCAATGAGGCAAGTATTATTATTATCCCCACATTCATATAAGGAGACTGAGGCGTAGAGAGGTTAGATGATTTGCCCAAGGGCCCACAGCTAACTAAGAGCAGACCTTGGATTCAAACATAATTTTGTCTGACTCTAGGACCTAAGATTTTAATCTCTATATTCTGAGAAAGAGAAAAGCAGCCCCTGCCATAGAGTAGCTGGGCTGGTGCTGTCAGCTAGGTCTTGGTGTTGCTAGGAGCTGGCCTGGCACAGCTAGGCCTTGGTGTCTCCTGTTGAACATAAACAGTTTCAGAGAACATCAACATCAGAAAAGGCCGTGTAAATTACGTAAAATAAAAGCAAAATAATTTACATTGTCCTGACCGTGGTGGATCCGGACGAAAATAAGACTGCTCCATAATCAAGTCTGAACACAGACAAAAACATGAACCTTATCCAAGCCACCAAATGGAATACACAAACTTAAAATATCAAACTAATATGAGTGGCTATTATTTCTTTACCAGTTACAGCTTTAGCCACATTCTAGTCTTCCCTCTTTCTACATAAGATTTATTAAGCTACCCAATCATAGAATTACCCCTGCTTCGTGACAGCATCAAACTGGGAGCAAAGTCCCCCAAATCACCTAATACAAACTCGAATCTTAATATCTAAGTCTTTTCTAACACCTTCCTACTGAGATGCCTCACGATTCCCTACAGTATGTGTTCTCCCTTGCTGCAATGAGCAATATGCTCAACTTGTGCAGCCACAGGTGTGTTTCTGGTGATCTTTGGCTAGAGAGCATTGACAGTTCTTTCTGGCCTGTCCTGTACCATGCATGTCTATAGACTGGAAAGCATACTACTTAGGCATTTTTTGCCAGTCAAAGAAACTTGGAACTGCCCTCCCATCTCCAGCCGTAGGATTATCACAGCAAAGCTAAAGGGTTACCTTAGTTTTTGTGGATTCTATGTAGAGTGTGTGCTAAATGGAACCTTATCAAAAGATAGAGAAAAGAAACAAATGATGCTGGAATTATTGGACATCATTTTGCAAGGAAAAAACAGCTTCAACTTGTCAACCCATACGTTGCACCTCTTGCAAAATAACTCAAAAATGGATCATAGACCTAAGTGTAAAATTATAAAAATTTTAGGAGAAAACATAAGGGAAAAATCTCTGTGATCTTGGGTTAGGCAAAACCCAAGGTATTTCTTAGATACAACACCCAAGGCACAATTCATGAAAGAAAAAAATGTTTATAAAAACTTCTGCTCTTTAGACAACACTGCTAAGAAAATGAAAGGACAAGCAACAGACTGGGAGAAA